AGGAGTCTGAAATCAATCTGTCTACTGAATTTTACACTTTAGCAGATGGCATCTAGAGTGAGTTCCTATTTACTATATACTCATGCTATGACAACTATAACAATTAATCATTGCTATTACTATGTATGTTAAGTTCTGATGAATAGAAACTGAACTCCCTAAAATAGTAGAGGACTCATTGACCTTGCGTTAATTGATTCTTAGAATGGAAATTTCCCATAGGTTCAATATATGTCCACATACCTTGTTTTCTCTACTCTTATCCACATGTGATCAATCTCTGGCCCTTTTTGATGGCTAAGTAATATTATCTGCATTGATTCCATAGCGTATACTATGTAGTCAGAAGCAGTTGAAATAAGCTAGCTGTATAGGAAAGACCAGCATCTTCAGGCTTCTCTGGTGTTTTCAGCATGTTTGGACTTATCAGATGGAATTCCAAGTTTATATATATTTATGGGTATACACGTGTAGATATGTGTGCCTTTTTGTGTTTTGGAGAGATGGTCTCTCTCAGTATGATAAGTAGCTACTTTAAAGAATATTTTTTTTGTTTAAATAATCTTAAAACACAAGCACATTTTCAAAAATCTAATGAATACATGATAAACTGTGTGCCATTGCAGGAAAATGTGGCTTCCTCATGAGAAACTGACAGGTTAACCAGACCCAGGCAGCCAAAAAGTTAATTACTCATTTAACAGCTTTATCCTGAGCAGCAAAGAAGCATTTTGTGCTAAGTGATTAGATGAGTACAAAAAAGAAAGATTACCTATTCTGTTACACTTTTCTCAAAATTTTAGAGGTTTAACTGTATTTGATCAAACTGAACTTAATTAATTAAAAAAAAAATTTACCCACCTTTACCAGAAAAGAGTAATATCATCCACTTCTCTTTAAAATGAAAACTATGAAGACTAAAAGTAATAGGATTACTGTGTGATGGGCCTAATGAGCAGGCACTAAATAATAAGTAAATGTGTACTGAATGAGTGAGCATGCTTGCAGTCACCAGGTTTGTTCAGACATTAATAGCATTGCCAAGTGCACATGCCCTAGACTTCATTATGTTTTTCTCCAAGGGAGGGAGCCTTTACTGTGGCTAATTTAATCGGTATATCATATTACTCCTTATAATTTTAGGATCTGTACTAAAGATAGTGAAATAATGCCATTTTAGCTTGAGCCTTGAGAAGAAGAATTTTCTGAGTCAATTTAAAGTGTACCTTATGTCCTCTGAGGGGGACTCAGGAACTCTGCCTTTCTGCATCTCCTCACTCCAGCCCTTTGCTACCCCTAAGAAGAGTCCAAGACCCTGACTGTGCTTCATTACAGTTGGTGGAGTTTTCCAAGAGGTTGAAGGTGGCTCCTATTCACCCAATCCAAGCTTAGATGCAAACTCCATTTGAGGTAGGACATGTCACAGGGTAAACACACAAGTCTGCTTTGGTTAGAAGCTGGTCCAGGCCTACTTGGTATAGTAAAATGACTGTTCCCATAGTCCAGTCTAAATTATATTGGGTTTTTGGGTCCAAATTCTAAAAACTACATGCTATTTAAATTTGGACACTCCACAGGAAGACAGAATTATTGGACTAAGTCAGGATTTCAGTGTTCTTGAGCCCCTTGGTCAAATTCCACCTTAAACTCACCATAATTTCCTATAAAACAAATCCAGAGAGATATTTACTTACTTGGTAAATACTGTTTTAAATACAAAATTGACCTATTTCTAAACCGTATCTAATAATAATAGCTAATTCATGTAGTGCTTACTATGTGTCAAGTACTATAAGTATCTTATGTGGAATACATTATTTACTCTTCAGAACAGTCCTATAAAGTAAACATTAGTATTACTATCTTATCATTAAATGAGAAATCTAGATCTGTCTTTGAATACTCACTTTTCCTTATCCTTCATCCAATTCATCACCATGTCCTGGTGATATTATCTCCAATAGATGTCTTGGCTTTGGTCTCTTTGCTCCACCTTTGCTAGACCATCTCATACATTATTGGACCAGACCTCTCACCTGGTCTCCTCATTTCAGTGCTTGCTCCTCTTCAAACCCTTTCTACTAGCAGCAAACTGTTCTTAAAATACAAATGGAATCACATTAATATGTTGCTTAAAAATCTTCCTGTGGGCTACCATAACAATGAAATAAAATCCACACTCTGTACCACAGTCTACAGTTCCCGCATCCTTATCCCCTGTTTACATCTCCCCTTCTTCCAGGCTTGAATGTGCCAAGTACATTCCCACCTCGTGATCTCAGCATGCAGTCTCTCCTCTGAATGGAATGCTCCTCTCCGTTTTGTCATGTGGCTAATTCCCTCTATCCCTGCAATTCTCAGTCTTAAATATTACCTCCCACAGAGATCTGCTCTGACCAAACTACCTAGACTACATTTCTGCCTTCTCATTTTCAGTCTTAATCCCATCAAGGGGCACTTGGGTGGCTCAGTCAGTTAAGCCTCTGACTTCGCTCAGGTCATGATGTTGTGGTTCATGGGTTCGAGCCCCATGTTGGGCTCTGTGCTGACAGCCCAGAGCCTGGAGCCTGCTTCAGATTCTGTGTCTCCCTCTCTCTTGGCCCCTCCCCTGCTCACGCCCTGTCTCTCTCTCTCAAAAATAAACATTAACAAAATATTTTTTAAAATCCCATCTTTGTTCCTTTCATAAATCACCACATCAAGTCACTTTGTTCACATACTTACTTGTCATTTTTGAGGAGTGGATTTTGTCTTCTCTAAGACACATATTCCAAAAAGGGCAAGTACTATCAAGGTCTCCTTGACCATTGTTCCCTCAGCAAAACCTAGTAGAGAATAAAGCATATTCATTAAATAACGTTTGAATGAATGAAGGTGAGTTGTGAGACTTTGAAATTTTTACAAATGTGAATATTTAAAATAGGAATATGTGAGGATGAACATCATATTATTAAACTTACTTTTTGCCAAAGAGTAGCATAACACTCAACCATATATATATATAGTTATTCATAATAGTTATGTTCTGTAACATTGCTGGGAACACCGAATTAGCAGATAATGAACCATTGCACCTAGGGGAATTACAAGGTTAGGTTCCTGAGAGCCCTTTGTTCACAACATTTTCATTACTCATACATGACCTGGTTTTATGTGTGTTTCTGTTTAAGGACGCCTTACTTAATATATATTGTTGATTTATTAACATTGAACTCATGGCCAACAACACTATAACTCATGCCTGAACAAAGCTTAGCTAACACACATATTTTCTTCATAAGGCACATAACAGTCTTGAGCTTAAGAACACTAGACAGGGGCACCTGGGTGGCTCAGTCAGTTAAGCGTCTGACTTCAGCTCAAGTCATGATCTCATAGTTCGTGGGTTCGGCCCCACGTAGGGCTCTGTGCTGACAGCTAGCTCAGAGCCTGGAGCCTGTTTCAGATTATGTGTCTCCCTCTCTCTCTGACCCTCCCTTGCTCATGCTGTCTCTCTCTCTCTCAGAAGTAAATAAAAAACATCAAAAAAATTTAAACAGCAAAATCATTAACAGAACATGTAAAAATGCAAAGAAAGTGGCACTAAATAAACTGCAAAAGAGAGCTAAAACTTGTTTATGGTATGAGAGCTGAAACAAGAAAGCACTTGTTTATGGTATGAGAGCTGAAACAAAAAAAACAGAGCATTGCCTTGTTCACCTCAGTGAGAATATGCCCATTGGGTGACTCAAATTTTTTCTTTGCTCTGTGCATTCTATGCATTTTACCAAGTAGCCAATTCATACATATGGAATCCACACATAATGAGGATCAAAGGTCTATGTTTTGGGGGGGGGGGCTACTATCATCACCATTCTTAAAAACAAAACTTGAAAAGTTAAATAGATTTCTATTCATGTAAGGCTCATCACATTTTTTAAAACTTTTTTCCATTTGACCACAGACCCATAAGAACTTCATCCTGTAGGAATGGGGGGAAGCATTGCTCTGGGCAAGGCTAATTAGCAACTCATTCTCCAGCCAGATTTATTCATATGTGACAAAAACTTACTTTGGTACTGTTCATAGTAAACACTGATACATATATAGTGATTTTAAGAGATTGTTACATTCTGAAAGAATAAAACAATATGGATCCAGAGTCCTAAAATCAGCACTTTTCTCCATCATATCTGGTCCTTGCCCTTAACATTAAAAATGACCACATCACTTGATCAAGTAAATATACCAGGGACCTTTGCTGTCATGTCATTACCATAGTGTAACCTCTTTTTTTTTCCTTTCCTTTCTTTCATATTACAAAAGTGATATATATTTATCATAGAGAAATTTGAACTTAGAGGTAAGCAAAAATACATATATATATACATTATATATATTCATATACATTATATATATTTTTGCTTACCTCTATGTTCAAATTTCTCTATGATAAATATATATTTTCCTATGATTTTACTATATATAAACAAATAAATAGCCCCTTTCTAGTGTACAGGAATCATCCCTGTTAATTTTTCAGTGCATGTCTCCATAATTGCTTTCCTAAGCCTACACATGCTGGTTTTTTTCCCCCTTAACCATATGTCATTAATGTCGGTCTCTGCTAGGTTGGACTTCTATAACATTTCCCTTTGTTCTAGGTAATTCTTTGAGGATATCGCATTGTCTTCTCTTTTCCATGTGTGGTCAGGATCAGGAACACTCCCTTTTCTTAAACTCCCCAGTGTAGGAGAGCTCACGGTAGTTCTCTGGTCTGATATACCTGCCTTCTTCCTGGGGTGAAGTCTTGGGGTTCTGACAAGGAAGAATCAGTCTGAACTGCCATTTTCAGGTGGACTCCTGAAAAAATCAAGAGTGTCATGTTTAAGAGAAAAATGCTATATAGTTTTTCCTTAGAGCTAGAGAGCTCTGATAGCCAGTTTATTTCTTCAACTTGTATGTTTGTTGTTGTTGTTGTTGTTTTAGTTTACTTCATGATGATGGGTCTGGAGACACAGCTTACATATACAACTCTGAATGGCTGAAAAAAAGATTAGCACAAGACAGTTGCGATGAGTAATCTATTCTCAGAAGTGAAAGCCAAACACCAACAAGCTACCAACAGAAGTTATAAAGAAAAGTGAGTCAAATTCACTCCTGATTTGTATGATTGAACATTTTCAGATTTCAGAACATGAAATTCGTTTAGAGAATGCATGTAATACTCATATGAGTTAAGGTATTTTTTCATGTGTCTAACTAGATCTGCTCTAACACATTTTGTGAAAGTGTGAGGGAGACAAGGCTACAATTTTACATTCTATTAGGTAGTCCCTTCAGACTTTACAGTGACAATTTTATAGAAGTCGATTACCTAGCTAGAATTAAGCTCTTGAGTGACTTGATGATATTAGCTTCAGGTAAGTCTCATTTTGATATGTTTAATAAGGATGTACACACTGAAATGCATTCTTGTAGCCTGCTGGAGATGCTGATTACACATCAGGAATACATTTAAACTAATTCATGAGGTTCTTGCCAAATCTGTGGTTAGGCAATTTACATGATAAAAAAATAAATGATGATTGATTAGCAAGAATCACATTTAAATCTAGAGTCTCCCCTGAAAGCCTTTCTGTTGCATCATATGGACATGCTGGCTTGATGAAATTGTACAGCAGTTTGCCCCTAATCATAATGTTTCACTCATACTTAACATAGGTCTGTTTACTCTTGCGCTGTTCACCAATTTGAACCCCAGTGATCTGATTTATTTATGCTTCATCTACTTTTATTTCTTACAATGGCTATTCATCATCTTACAAAATATGGAAGGGTGGGTAAACTCTCTCTTGATACTATAATATGATGTTGCACATATTTGAATTTTATAAATTATTTTCATAATAATTCTATAATTTGATAAATTTAATAATCCTATGGAGCAGTAGATTCGGATACTGCTTTGGTCACTTTGTGTAATTAAAATTGAAGTTCAAAAGGATTCAATGACCTACCCAAGCTATCATAACTGGTAAGTTATAAATCCAGATCATGTTATTTCTTCATTACAGTATTCTCTCTGTATCATAGCTCTCCTTTTTGTGCTTAAGGACTAAAAAAGAAAGAGTTAAATTTTGAAAAACTAGAAAATTTTACCAAGTGGCTATATCTCTTATATTCTCAAGGGCAAAATAGTTATTAATGCAAGATTTGAAAGCTACCATTGAAATTATTATGTTGAGCCAAATCTTAAAGTAAACAGAAACACTGTAAGTTTACCTATATTATTATAGTTTTTTTTAAAAAGGCAAGAATATCCATTACTGAAATGGCTTTCACACTAAAATAATTGTAAATATGCTGTAAAAAGATAAATCCTATCCAATTAAAATATAGAATTATCAAAGTGATCCACAAATAACAGAGTTTGGAGTGGGTTAAGACAGGAAGTAGAAAGGTCTGAATAGACAAGGTCTGTATGAAGTAGAAAGTGCTGTAATAGGAGCTACAGAAATAGACAAAAGAGAAGTTAAATTAGCAGCTTTCAGTCCTGCCTCTGACATTTTAATTATTTGAAGAGATGCTGCTAGATTCTCAACAAAAAGTTTCACAACCAATTTTATTTCAAATTACTATAATCATTCCAAGTATGCCCATATACACATGTCATGTGTAGTAAATGTTAAAACTCAAAACAGTGATATATTTTTATCACTCTAGGTGGGTTAGGAAACCTAACTTACTACCTTGATATGGGACATGGACATTAGCCCTGCTCTACTTCAGCGGTGTCCCCTGGACGGAGCTTTTGGATAGTAAAGAAACATGTTCCACCCTAAAGAGGAATGCTAGAAGCATTCCTTGTTATTTCTCTGAAGATGCAAATTATATCTGCCCGGTCATAGTGCTTCTTAGAAAACTAACCCCTAAGCCCTTCTTGCTTTGTCTGTAGTCTGTGGCCTTATGCCTGCCCAGGGCCATGACTAATTAAACATGAGCCAATCAGAGTCAATTCAGAATTTGAATGACATGGAATGTAAGTCACGAGGGTGCGCTAACTTGAAAAAGAGATTATGTAGAGCTGGAAAAGCCATTTTCATTTTGTCATTGTGTAGGTGCTGCTGCAGAGAAAGCTGCATGGCAGTGAGAAGCAGGAGAGGAAAGCAAAGATTACATATCACTTTGACCAAACACATGAAGAGATGGAGTTTTGCACTTTCATGTTCGACTTTCTCTATTGGGACTACCTGCCCTGGTGTTCCTTTTGATTCAGTAAGTTATCTTTGTATTCCTTGGATAAGGAATGCTTAAGCTTATTTAAATGAGCCTCTATTCCAATCAAATGGTCCCTGATTATAGAAACCATGACCTGATCCAAGAGCAGTAGCAGCTCTGTGCAGAGGGAAATCGCTGAATGGCCATGATGCTTCTTCACACAGGGTTTCAGTTGAATTCGATTCAGAGTCACCCTTCCCTATAGGAGAAAACCATACAGTTCACTAAGCCTGACACCCTTTCAACAGGGTTTGACCAGCAACACTGGTGTGTGTCTTATTCTCTCTTACTTTTAAAATTGCCGAATTTTCAACCTGAGAGGAAGCCTTAACGATCAAATCCAGCATCCTTTTGTGGTAAATGAGAAAACTAAGAAGCAGAGCCCTTACTCGGGGCTTGGGAAAATCCTGGTCTAGATTTCTTTATCTGACCTCTCTCTGTAGGGCCAGTCTATTGATAGAGAGGTCTTTTAAGTTTTCTTCTCTTGTAAAAAATCGAAGGGTTCTGCTGCTCGTAAAACCTCCAGTTTATATATCCTGTTTACATATCCAGTTAGAATCATGTTCAGTTGCATATAACAAAAAGCCAGAGACGATAAGGGCTTAAACACATGAAGATGTATTTTATCCCACACAAAATCAGTTCAGAGGTGTGCAGTCCAGGGTGAGTGTGGGCCATGGTTTCAGGGGCCCAACTTTCATCTTTATTTCTGTTCTTTCATTCTCAGTATCCAGCTCCATCTTCAAGGTCATCACAGTGGTCCCATGTGGTGTTTGGAGTTTCATCCATCAAATCTGAATTCCAGGAAGCAGGGTGTAGGGAAGGGGAAGAGGCAAAGTGGCACACCCTAGCTGTCTGTCTTCCCCACCTAATAGCTTTTGCTTACAGCTTTACTGGTCATAGTTCAGTTAAATGGCCACTTTAGCACCAAGGGAAGCTGAGGAATACATTATTTTAGCTGGGCTCATTGCCACTGTGAATAAAATTGGAGCTCTCATAAAGCATAAGAGTAAAGAGATGTTGGGACCGCAACTAGAAACCTATGCCATACACTCCTACAATTTCTGTCACCAGTTCTTCCTCAAAGGATATCTTTTGTGGATATCTCAGAATATTTCCATAGTTAGGTGACATCCTAAAACTGCAAGGGTTGAAGAAACCCTTCCTGCATTCTCTCCCTTTGCAGTGAGAGTCCCCCACCCCCACCCCAGTGTTTTCTGAACCTCTGCCTAGTTCTGGTCTCTACCTACTAACTCCTTTCATCTTACCCTGTCAGGGATTTTGTGCAGTGCATGGTGATACCAACAATACTGAAATGCATACCCCAGATATGTTCTACCTACTGTTAAAAAATCTTGCATGTCATTACAGAATCCTAAGTAGGAAAAAGACACTAAATCCACGGCAAAGCAGGCACTACACCCCATCAAAAGATCCTCTGTAAAATGGCAGATAACAGTGGATTCAACCTCATAGGATTTTTAAAATGATTAAATAAGTTAATACATGTGCAAAACACTTAGGACAATTTTTGGAACAAAATAAGTGACCTGTGAATAATTGTTATTCATCATCATCATCATCATTATCATCATCGTTGTTGTTGTTGTTACCAAATGGCTTTTTTAATAATCAGAAATATATAGTGAGAGGCTAGGAAGACGTTTATGTCCCCAGTACTGGAATTCCTCTCAAGAGAATCACTAATGGGCCTAGATGACAAGAGAGGCATTATGTTTAAATGGCTACTATAATGCTCAGCTGATCAAGTTGCTTAGTTGGTAAAATGGTCCCTTTTAGCATGAATGTTGAGAGATATGCTTCCTGTAAAGGAAGTTTCACGTCCCTTGGGATGGCGGTCCTCTGAGCCACAGATAGCAATGAGGTGGCTAGGAAGGTGTTTTGAGGAGAACCAAGAGGAAGACATGCTAAACTTGATTTGTTTACAAGTTTGCATAAACCCATTGCTGGTAAATTGGGTTCCAGATGTCTCTGCATGAAGCTTTTGCCAACCGACAACTGGGCTTCTTAACTGCATTCCAATAATCCACTTATACTTTTGTGGGCTGGATGCAAATTTAATGTTGTTCTAAATTAAGTAGAGAACAAGAACGTGTTAATTATATGCAACGATGAACCAAGTGTAAAAACTGAAGGCTTTAAGTTTATTCTTTGAAGCACATTCCTGGTTTATTTAAAAGAAATGAAAGTAAGGAATTGATGAAACCACTTTGTGACTAAAAAACGTGGATCACTGATAGAACTGTGTTGTGAACACTGTTAATTTCGTAATTATTGAGATGCCAATATGCCCTTGATAGCGGTTGTAATTAAAGCCTCTGATTTGCGAGTCTTTTTATTCTTAATACAGCTCTCAGAGTATGTGAGAAAATTCTGAGCATTGACATTTGGAAAGAAGCAGAGGACTGTCTGTAGCCGTAGCAAATCATTTCCAATGAATAGTGAGAATTAGAGACAAGGGCAGAAACAAAGGTCTAAGGAAAGAGTTTCCTAGGTGAAAAAGAAACGTAATTCTATCAAAATGGTTTGTACTGATTCACTACAAAGGCCTGTTCACCTCACAATCATTTTTTTTTTTTTTTGCAACAGATTAGGGGAGGAAAAATTGCAAAGTTTCCATGGACTGAAATTCATTTCCAACACCTCTTTGGGTCTTCTTTATCTGTGCTTTATGGGGAGGTGTGCAAAAGCAAATCCTTGAGTATGATTTTCCATTCCTCATTGTTGGCTACATTGCAGTGTCTCACATGAGGAATATTAACGCTAAGCACTTTTTTAGTTGAGGAGAAGGGTGGCAAGGGTTATCAAGGAAGATCTACAAAAAACATGGAACTGGAATTCAGGAAATTAATTTCCCTCCTCCATAACTAACTACCTTCTCTCTAACTCTGTGGCCAAGTCTTTCTCCTGATTTCTTAAAGGCAAGTCAGATTTCTGAGTGAAAAGCGAGAATGATTCTTACCACCTGTCTCATCTATTTGACACAAACAAAAGTTTAATACATAGTAGCTGTTTATTTGTTTTATATGTCAAATTAACAAGAAAGTCTGCTGAATTTGTAAATCTGCAGCCCAGTCTGGAAGATAGGAATATTGATATAAACAAAGATAATATAGATGCAGATATATAATATGCTTTGCTTTATAATCTATTGATTATCAAAGTCTGGTATTAATTAGTGATTATTTTTTTGTTAGTAAATGAGCTTTTATTTAATCAGTAAAGATAGTTTAGGGAGTGGACTGGGTAGTTAAAAAGTAGTTCTCTACTTTGCAAGTGGGGAGAGGAAGACCTGAGAGATGCAGATGGTATCAACAAACTGCCTTTGGATTCTGAAACACATTCTTTCCAAAGGGAGGGGAGCCTTCCATGAAGGAGAAACATGGAGGCTTATTGGCCTGCAGTCTGACTGGGGAGGAGGAAGGCAAACAACAGCCAGATGAATCTATGAAACTAACTTCTATTGAAGGAGCAAGTATCACAAGAGGAAGGAGGAAATTGTGGCAGGTCCCTGGTGACTCACCAGGTTAAGAACTGGAAAACTGTCCTGATATACACCTAAAATACCCATTGCCTGAATACTAATCACAGAACCTGGGTGATACTAAAATCGGAGAGTATTTGTGGTAAAAAGCAAGACAATGTGATATATTTGATCATGGCTGAGACTTGTAAGATAGTTTCTGTCTGACCTTGGTTGTTAACTGACCCTCTGTCTGGAGACTTAAGCCTCCTTGGACCCTGGTTTTGCAAGGTACCTTTTCTTGGAAGCTGGGTCCTTCCCAGTTTCCCCTTGACACAGATGAGGGGTCCACTTAAATTCTTTTTTAAAAAAATTGATTCAAAAACTGCTTTACTATTTTTATGTTCTATTACAAACACCTATCGTAAGGGGTCCAATGGATCTGAGGGCTCCTCACTCATCAGTATACAATATAAGATCATGGGAAATAGCAACACGCCACAAGCTTTCCTGGGCAGCACTTGGACAGGGTAGTGAGGGGAGAGTCCTTCACTGCATGAAACCACAGACAACAGGATCCCCATCTAGAATAGGAGGGGGCACAAAAGGACTTCTGGGAGCAGGAGGGCTAATCAGAGAGGGACTTTATACATCTAGATGGCATTTTTCAGCAGCACTGCAACAAGTCTCTGGGTCAGAGAGCTCGCAAGGGCCATAGCAGTTTGGGGCCTTATAACCACATTGCTCTCTCTTAACAATGGATAATAAGGGTGCCGTGAGGTTTCCCACGGTGTGCAAAGCAGGCACGCTTAAAAGGTTAAAGAACTATTGTCTTATATTTTTTTAATGATTGCTTGGCTATTTTTAAAACAACTGGTTGTGGCAAATTTTGAATCTGGTAATGGTGGATGTTAGAGCTAACATGTTTCAGCCTGTAGTAAAGAAATAAGCAACGATGCTCAGCATCCCTCCTCATCAGGGAAATACAAATCAAAACCACGCTGAGATACCACCTCACGCCAGTCAGAGTGGCTAAAATGAGCCAATCAGAGAACCCTAGATGCTCCAAGGATGTGGAGAAACGGGCACCCTCCTACACTGTTGGTGGGAATGTCAACTGGTGCAGCCCCTCTGGAAAACAGTGTGCAGGTTCCTCAGGAAACTAACAATAGAACTCCCCTAGGACCCAGCAATAGCACTGCTAGGAATTTACCCAAGGGATACAGAAATGCTGATGCATAGGAGCACATGTACCCCAATGTTCACAGCAGCACTCTCCACAATAGCTAAAACATGGAAAGAGCCTAAGTGTCCATCAACGGACGAATGGATCAAGAAGATGTGGTTTATTGATACCAGGGAATACCAAATGGCAATGAGAAACAATGAAATCTGGCCATGTGTAGCAACATGAATGGACCTTGAGGGTGTTATGCTGAGCGAAATAAGTCAGGCAGAGAAGGACAAATACCATATGTTTGCACGTATAGGAGGATTAGGAGGAACTTGACGG